AAAGGAGTCCGGCTGCACTGATGCTCCGCAGGAATCGAGAGCAAGAGACTGGACTCGTTGCTGGACCATTTCCGAAACTCCATGCACGCTGATTCTATAGCCCCCGATACTTGTGTCCGCTTATCCTTTGCCTCCTCCAACGTGTGACCTCCGGAAAGAATGTCATCCACATATATTTCGCTCATCAACACCTCTTCCGCCTTGGGAAACGAACGGCGCTCGTCCTTCGCCAACTGGTGGATGACCCTGATGGCCGTGAATGGTGCAGACGCCGTACCAAAGGTTAACGTTGACAACGCGAAAACGCTGATGGTCCCATCCGCCGCCCGCCATTGGGCGTCTTCCGGATGAACATCTATACAACGATACATCTTCTGTATACCCGCTGCAAAAACGAAACGATATTTCCGCCAATTCAGTATGACGTGCGACATGTCGTTCTGAAGGGCTGGCCCAGTCCACAACACGTCGTTTAGAGATCTTCCGTTGCTAAACCTTGCGGAGGCGTCGAATACGATTCTTTGCTTAAGGGACTGCGGCTCCTTCTTAAAGACCGCATAATGCGGCAGCACGCAGGAAGCCACATGCCTACCAGCAGAAGTTCGCATCAGCAAACTGCTTTCACTGCCCACCGCCGGCGCTATCTGCTTGAGGGAAAAGTACTCCTCGATCACCTCGACGAACTTGCTCCACCGCTCCGGACTGCTCGATAGACGCCGTTCCAACTGCAAGAACCTATTCAGCGCCATCTAATGCGATCTTCCCAAAACCATAGTTGGATCCATGTAAGTTTTGAAGGGCAACCGTACCACGTACCGGCCATCCGATCGCCGAATATGTGTCTTCTGAAAGAAGGCTTCGCACCAGAGGTCCCCCACTGATGTGAGAGAACGGTCCGGAACGGGATCCACCTCGCAGAAACGCTTGAGCAAAGCCTCGGTGTCCAAGAGCACCCGATGACACCGAACCTGGGTCGCTTCCCGCACTCCGTCCGCCAAACCAGATAGGATCCACCAAAGGTGAGTGTTCTGAGCTATAGGGTCGCCGGGCAGCCCGATCCTGGTATCCGGCAACATGATTTGCGCCAACAGGTCCACACCCAAGATGAGGTCGACTCGCTTCGATCGTTAGAAGTTCGGATCCGCCAGCGGGAGCCCTCATATATGGTCCCAACGCTGAGGCATGAAGCTGCGACAAGGAAGACAGGAAGTAACCGAATTGAGGACATAAGCGAAATCAACGTCAATTAAAAGTCAGGGTTAACATTACTACGGATTTCAAAATTGACAGTATACTTGCATGGACGACCGCCCCCAAGACCCATCCCAAAAATAGATGTTCGGCTGCCAGATCGCTTCAAATGCAAGGACAGTAACACTTGCTCCGAGACAATGGTTGCCTCCGATCCTTGGTCGACCAGGGCATTTATGACAGCGTGCAGTCCGCTGACCGGGTTCCGCACGGTGATACGAACAGTGGCGAGAAGGACATTTCTTGAAGACAGATCCGATGACGTTGCTGAATAGCATCCGTAAGATGCGCCGAGGTTCTGGTCTGTCGTTGGCTGCCTGCGCTGTTGAGATACGCTATCCCTGTCTGCAGGTGCACTGTCGGCGCCACATGATGCGGCGGCACCCCGCTCGGCGACTGGCTATGAGGCAAAACAGGGAAATGCAACAATGTGTGATGACGCCGCCCACAAACTTGACAGCCTTTATTAGCAGCAGTGGTAACAGGCGCCGCTAGGGCGCCTACCGTGCTCCTGAGCACTGTGCACTCGCACTCGTTTGGTAGGGTCTGAAGATCCTGGGCTAGCAGCGGAGTCGAACGACGAGCCTCGGTTCTCAATCGCATCCATTATAACCAGCCGATCGTTTAAAAATGACTCCAACTCTCTGTAGGATGGAACTGTGGAACAACTTCCTTGATGGTGCCCCCAAGCGTTGTTGGTCTCCTTTGGTAGCCTCGATGCTAGGTAGTGTGCCAGCCAGTGCGATTCCCCGTCCAATGCTTGAACGCGGCGGAATGCAGCCAGACAAACATTGACCGTGCTTAGCATTGACCGTATTAACTCTGTGTTGTCCTTCTGTAGCCTAGGCAACGCGTTGATGGCATTCATGTGGTGGGCAAAAACGAGGCGAGGATTGTTGTACCTCTTGATCATCAATCCCCAAGCCACCGCATAGTTCCCTTCCGTGAGCTGCATCTGACGGATGTCATTATCGCGGTCCCTCGGCAGCGACTCCTTGATAGAGTGCAACTTCTGCACACTACTCAGACTGGCGTTGTTGTGGATTCGGCTCGTGAAGGCATCATAATAGCCTGGCCAATCGACACACGCGCCGGAGAACTTCGGAACCGACAACTGGGGCATTGTCAGCCGCACTTCCGCATCGGCGCCCCCAGACACTGGCGGCGGAGGCCCACAAGCCATAAACGCGCTTCGTAACTCCTCAACTTGTTCCAGCCGTTTCTTCAGGTAAATCATCGTTTTCCTCGATTGCGAATCCTTTTTAAAATTTTGCAACAGGGATTTCACGGTCTAAAATCGATTCGCCTGCAAGTTAACCAGCTGCTCCAAAGTAGGAGTATCCGATCCCGCTTTCATGTTGACCAATGTTGTGAAACCGAACTTCGCGCGCAACTCACCACCCCAAATAATAATTTAATAGAAAAAACTCAGTAAATTTTAATTCGCACACAACTTGTCTACTTACTCAGTTATTTATACCAGAATCCACCCCAAGACGAAGCGAAGATCAACGACCGTCTCCAAAGTTTAAAAAACTGTCGTCTTGCGCCTATGTATCGCAGTTCTCCTCTTCCGTGATTCGCAGAGCCGCAGGCCTGTAGTCTAGGTGCAGCTGTGATTCCGTTATGCCCAAAAGAAGCGAAGAAAACGTCCAGAAAAGTCCAGAAACTTCCGTAGCTGCGTCTATGTATCGCCGTTCTCTTTCTTCTTCACTTTTCGCGGTATGCAGAGCCGACTTGCAAACTTAGCGCAGTTGCGATCTAACGGCGCTTATTTACACAGAATTAAGAATTTTCGATTATGTTTCCGATTGCAGAGTTCCCCTCATGGGCCACCATGTATAATTGTGTCCCCTTGTATTTAATTAGCAAAGGTTCATTGTAAGAGAGGTCCCAGGCAATGCAAAACACAAAAGACAAATTCACAAAAATTCAAGTTTATTAATATGTGATATGTGCAAATAGCGTCCCGCGTTAGATGCAACTTGCGTGTTCTCTCGCTTGCCGAAGACAACTGACTTTTTCCCTCTTCCCGCTTTCGTTCTCCCAAGCATCGTCCCAAAACGCGAGAGCGATCAGCTGTTACTCTCCGCTCCCAGCTTCCAGCACACTGGGACAAGCAGCAAACTTAACACATAGAACGGAGAGAGAGATTCGCCACGCAAGTAATGACTTTTGGAGCCAGTTTCTCTCCTAGCTGGCCCCAGTACGCGAATAACAAAAATACAGAGACGTTCTAGAAGGAGATCCCACGTGCTGAAAAGTGCATCCTGGAGAATCACAGCGTCGACACGGAGGATAAAGCCATCAACCTCGAGCGTAGCGCCATACAAGCTTTGGATCAGATGTAGAATCTGATGGAATCTTGAAACTTTATGAACATGCTAAGATAGTTAAGGGGAACGAACGCGTCGTACTCCCTTGAGGCAGTTATTTTAAGCAGCTAATCATAAAGATGAAGAAGACCGAAGATTCCTGCACACTAACCACGAGACGGTGGTCAACGAATTACGGCAACATTTTTGGATACCAAAGCTGAGGTCCACCCTCGCTCGGATACGACGCTCCGCCGCCGTGCATGCCGGATTTCTAGCAGTGCGAAGCCTTATGGCCCGACGAGGGTGCCTAGTGGAACTCTGTAGCGACAACGGCACCAACTTTCAAGGCGCTAGAACGAAGTTACGAAAGGCGTTCGAAGACGTGGACTAGTATCTACTTTTCCGCGAGTTCACTGGGCCCCAGATGACATGGAAATTAATTCCACCCGCATCCCCATGAAGACGGCGCTGGATACAACCCTCCTGGAAAAACGACCATCTGATGGGCTGCTGAAAACCGCCTTGATGGAGGCGGAGGCGATCGTAAACTCGCGGCACCTGACATGACAATAAATCATTTCCTGCTTGGAAGCTCAACTGGTAGAGTTAAGGAGTGCAGCTGAAGAAGAGGTGGATGGAATCACAACAACTGACGGACTCGTTTTGAAAGCAATGGCTTCAAGAATACCTGCCAGTGATAACTAGGCGCACCAAATGTTCCGAACAGAGTAAGAAGGGGACATCGTGTAAGTGTGTAACTCCGGACAGCCGAAAAACCAGTGGCCGAAAGTGCGGATCGTGAAGGTGAACGCCCTTAGGACAAGTGAAGAGCGCCGCGATCGGTACCAGGTCTGGCGTATATACAAGGCCCCGCATTAAAGCTAGCAGTCCTATCTATCAATTAGCAGTCCTATCTATCCCTAGCGGAATATTCAAGTCGCTTAATTGTTATATTATTTGTAATTCCTGTAAATTAAAAATGCCCTATACAATTCGAATATCCGCAACACCATATTTTCCAATAAATGAAAAAAGCGTATATCTAACGGTGAATAAATAAAATATATAAAAAGGAGTATTTGCTTAGTTTCATAGTGATAAGTTATCTCATTTCCTACTAATTAAATATCTTACAAAAATATATTTTCCTTCAGAAATGGTCGGCCCGGTTCAGAATCTGTTTCCGAGAAGTTTAAAATTGACTGGGGTACATACATGTCATCAAGAAATGATGTTGTTTATATCCGACTAGATGTAAGAGGTTCAAAAGGACAAAGTAAAAAAAAATTATTCCGTCATTTAGGAGGAGTAGAAGTTTTAGATCAAATATATGTGTTACGGTAAGTACTTAAAATATATTTTTAAGAATATAATTTTCATAAAATCTGTTTTATAAGGTACTTACTTGATACGATGGGATTTTTAGACGAAACCAGAGTAGGTTTGTGGGGCTGGGGCTATGGCGGTTATGTTACTTCAATGGTTCTCGGTACCGAACAGAACATATTTAAGTGTGGAATTGCCATATCTCCTATTGCAGACTGGCTGTATTACAGTAAGAATTTAACTTAATAATGGACCATTTTCCAAGAAGTCGGGACTGTGAACGCATGAACCGCTTGGTAAAATATACTAGATAAATTTGAAATATTACTTGTTTAAAGGCTTCAACTAACTCACTAGGGACCGACTTCTGGAGCCTGTCTAAAAATTGATCGATATAGTCTTTAAATATTTTCCTTTTAGATTCAGCCTTTACTGAACGTGTATTGGGTTCACCTACAGAAAACTATAAAGGATATGTTGAGGCAGATGCCACTCAGAGAGCACGTTTAATAAAATCAAACTCATACTTTTTAATTCACGGAATAGCTGACACCACCGCCCCTTTTGTTCACGGAGTGCAATTATCTCAATCATTAACAAGCGCTAATATTTTGTTTCGATATCAGGTAATATACAAAAATGGAATTTACTGCATATAACTTAATGGGTTTTTCAGGCATATGCAGATGAAGGTCACGAATTAAATGGAGTGCTTGAACATTTATATTCTTCCATGGAGCAATATTTTGCCGAATGCTTAAGCTTGGATCCAGACGATACGAAGCCAGACATAGATCAGAACATGGTTCCATCTGAATAAAATATTTGTTTTTTTAAAAAATGTACATAATAATAGTTATAAAACAGTAACGCTTTTAATAATTTGAGCTTTCAATAAATTTTAAACAAAACAAATATTATAGTGAACAAGAGAAAACGCTATAGTCGAGTGCCGCGACTATAAGAAACCCGTTACTGTTTTACACAATTTTAAAATATTCATTTTGCTAGTTAAAACTCTCAAGCGCCACCAATTGTCGGAAAAAGAATGTTGAGTAACTGATAGTGACGTCACTGCCCATGTGAGGCCTCGAAACCTAAATTTCTTCATAAGTGGCGAAATAATGTTCCGATTTGAAAAATCTTTGGTACATCGAGAGAGATTGGCAGAAATAAGTTATAAAAGAAACCTCGTTTTTTGGGGTTTGTGGGCGTTAGAGTGGGCGTTGCTTGATCGAAAAAAAAACAATTCGCATTGGGAGCATCATAAAAACCTACATGCTTAATCGGAACTTCCTTTCTCTTATAGTTACCGAGATATCAGCTTTTCTAGAAAATGCGAAAACCGTCTTTGGAGCCTTGTGGGCGTATGGGTGGGTGTTGCTGGATAGTAGTAGTATCACTATGAGATGCGCTGGCATCTAAAGATTGTACATATTGAATTTCAACTTTCTAGCTCTAATAGTTCCTAAGATTTCAGCGATTTTATTTTTTTGCGATTTGTGGGCGTTAGAGTGGGCGTGGCAGGATGCTGCAATAAACTCTTCCTCGACGAAGAAGAAAGCCAAAAATGAAGCCAAGACGCGATTGCCCGGTGTATCTAGTTGCTGGGAGAACGATTTGAACCAGTCAAAGGAAATTCAACAAAACGTAGCCAAGAAAAAACGACCACAACCAAACCCAAGCAATCAAGTATACGCCATTTCTGGAAGGCTTGGAGTCGGGACTGGCTAGCACATCTACTGCATAGACCCAAGAGGTGCAGACGCAAAACGCACGTCGCTGATCTACCGCGGGAGGCCATATACACATTGTCGATATAGTTAGTTGCGATATATTAACGCAATCGAAACAACAGTAATTAAGCACTTTTTTGTTTATCAAGTTGGTGTTTGCTCTTCCTGGAAACCACTCTTACAATGAACCCATTGTTAGTTCGACACAATTTAAAATATCGTATAAACTACTAGTATAGTTCAAAATTGACTGGGCTACATACATATCATCAAGAAATGATGTTATAAAGCGACTAAATTAAGACAAGAAGAAACGCTATAGTAGAGTGCTGTGACTATAAGTTACTCGATACTCGTTAAGACATTTTTGAAATATTATTTTTGCTATTGAAAATGGACAAAGCCCTACCTTTTGTCAGAAAAAGCATGTTAAGTATCTGATTATTACGTCACTGCCTTATAACCTAAATTTCTTCATAAATATCAAAACAGTGTTTCAATTTTAAAAATCTTTTGAAAATCGATATTATATTAAAAAAAAATTGGTGTACAATGTCAAACGAAGACATACATTATAATATTATGAATACCCCTTTTTTTGTGTGCGTTATAGTGGGCGTTGCAGGATGCTGAAATAAACTTGCGCTATGTACGGAGCTCCACTCTGTATCTCATATAGTTCCCGAAATCTCCGCGTTCAGACGGAGTGTGTGAAGACTGTATACTAACTGATTGTTATGTCACAATTATAACGTAAATTTTTTCATAAATAGCAAGATAATATTCCGATCTTTGGTATCTTTGGTAAATCTTTTGTAAATCGATACGTATAAACTAGAAATATTATACAAACTCAAACAAAGACGTCACAGTTTTCCGCGGCTTGTGGGCATCGTAGTAGGCTGCAGGAGAACACCACTTCGAGCTGCGGTGTCATCTCAAGATGACAAAGCGTTTTTTTTTTGTTTTTAAGCGTTTTTGGCTTTCTAATTTTTGTGAGCGTGTCCAGTAAATAAATAATACGCATTGGGGGTATCATTAGAAACTACATCCTTAATAGCACCTTTTTTATCACTTATAGCTACCGAGATTTCAGCCTTTTTACAAAAGCGAAAACCGTCTTTCGATCGTGGCTAGATAATGGTTCCACCTTGAGATGCGCTAGCATTTCAAGATTATACATACTTAGTCCCAACTTTCCAGGTCAAACAGTTCCTCAAATTTAAGCGGTTTTAGTTTTCCATGACGAAAACCGTCTTTCGATCGTGGCTAGATAATGGTTCCACCTTGAGATGCGCTAGCATCTCAAGATTATACATACTTAGTCCCAACTTTCCAGGTCAAACAGTTCCTCAAATTTAAGCGGTTTTAGTTTTCCATGACGAAAACCGTCTTTCGATCGTGGCTAGATAATGGTTCCACCTTGAGATGCGCTAGCATTTCAAGATTATACATACTTAGTCCCAACTTTCCAGGTCAAACAGTTCCTCAAATTTAAGCGGTTTTAGTTTTCCATGATTGTGGGCGCTAGAAAGGGCATGTTAGGATACTGAAATAAACTTGCGCTGCGTAGGGATTTCAGGAATCTGCCTGATTGATGACAATTTTGTATTTATTATATGAGATTTCTGCGTTCATACGGACGGACGGACAGACGGACATATACTGATGAAGAATATACATACTTTATAGGGTCGAAAACGCTTCCTTCTACCTGTTACACACGTTTCAACGAATCTAATATACCATTTTACTTTACGAGTAAGGTGTATAAAAAGAACAAGGCAGCACGCCTCATCTACAACATACTTCATAACCTCTCACCAATATCCTACGCCCTAAAAGCGGCAATTCCAGTTATAGGAACAATAACGCACACAACTAGAACATAAAAACAAAGTCATCAACACCAAATCCTATATATTTCTATAAATAGAAGAACACATGGAAACCATCAACATCATTATACTCAATACGATCTGAAATTTTCGATGAACTAAAACTAAAACAAGAGGAAACGCTATAGTCGAGTGCCGCGACTAAAAAATACCCGTTACTGTTTTACAAAATTTTAAAATATTATTTTGCTAGTGGAAATTCACAAGGCGCCACCTATTGTCAGAGGAAGTATGTTGAGTAGTGACGTCACTGCCCATGTGAGGCCTTATAACTTTAATTTCTTTATAAATAGCGAAATAATGTTCCGATTTGAAAAATCTTTGACTAATCGATAGATATTAACAGAAATAAGTTACACAAGGTCAAACGAAGGCATTCATAATAATATTATAGACGCCACAGTTTTCCGCGGTTTGTGGGCGTTAGAGTGGGCGCGACCGGATGCAACTTCGTGGCAAGTTGCAAAGGCATCTCCTTAATACGTGTTCCTAAGCAAAATTGTGTAGCTCTTATAGTTTTCGAGATTTTTCTATTTTTGGTTTTTCGGGTTTTTGGGCGTTAGAGTGGGCGTGACTTGATCGGAAAAAAACTATTCGCCTTCATAGTATCATAGAAACCTACGTGCTTAATCCGAACTTTCTATCTCTTATAGTTACCGAGATATAAGCTTTCCTACAATATTGAAAAACCGTCTTTTAAGCTTAGTGGGCGTAAGAGTGGTTGTCAAGGTCAAACGAAGGCATTCATAATAATATTGTAGACGGTACAGTTTTGGCGGTTTACGGGCTTTAGAGTGGGCGTGCCTAAATGGGAAAAAAACAATTTGCATTTGGGGCATCATAAAAACCTATTTGCTTACATTTTACCGAGATATGAGCTTTCCTACAATATTTAACGCCCACAAATCGCGAAAAACTAAAATCGCTGAAATCTCGGAAACTATTAGAGCTAGAAAGTTGAAATTCAATATGTATAAACTTTGCATGCCAGCGCATCTTATAGTGGTACTATTATCTGGCCACACCCACCCATAAGTGAATAAGTGAAAGAAAGTTCGGATTAGGCATGTAGATGATGCCCCAAATGCGAATTGTTTTTTTTTCCATCTAGCCACGCCAACCCTAAAGCCTACAAAACCCGTAAAAACAAAAATTCAAAAATCTCGGGAACTAAAAAAGCTAGAAAGTTAGGCTTAAGAATACGCATTTTAGAGTTGCCACTGCAACTTCCTACGAGTTTTTATCCGGCCACCCCCACTCTAACGCCCACAAACCGCGAAACACTGTGGCGTCTATAATAATATTATGAATGCCTTCGTTTGACATTGTATAACTTATTTCTCTTAATATCTATCGATTTACAAAAGACTTTTCAAATCGGAACATTATATCGCTACTTATGAAGAAATTTAGGTTATAAAGCCTCACATGGGCAGTGAAGTCACTATCAGTTATTCGACATGCTTTCTCCGGCAATAGGTGGCGCTTGGGTAATTTCGACTAACAAAATGAATATTTTAAAATTGTGTAAAACAGTAAAGGGTATCTTATAGTCGCGGCTGTCGACTATAGCGTTTCCTCTTGTTTTAGTTTGCAAAGTCAGAAAGTCATAATTCTGTATCTCCTGCTCCATTGCCCTAGCATACCTTGTCACGAACTTTAATGCTGGCTTCAGTCTCCCTAGCTAATGCCAATGCCGATGGAAGGTATTTTGGCTGTATAGGAAATACAACTGCCCTCCTGTTTATTTTAGGCCTGAGATAAGCACGTGTAGAGCGTCCGGCCTCACCTCTGTGTTGAGCAGTTCAATGCTCAATGTAGTGGAACATGCTAATTTAATTTGTGACAAGGATTAGCTTAGGCTCAACCTCGTCATAGTATTTTGACATGCCGTCCGAACTAGCAAAACACCTACTCTGGTCTGCTATAATGCGATTTGGTACCCCAAATAATGTTGCTGCAGATTTCACAGACATAATACAACTTTCAGCATCTAACTTTAGAACGTGATGCAAATAAACGTATTTTGTATAAGCATCGATCGGAACAATGACGTACTCTTTTAAATCGCTTTTTCCGCTTAGCCTTCCTGTAATGTCAATGTGAACCGTATGCCGAGGTATACTGACCTTTGGGATAGGATGAAGCTCAGCTTGGACTTTC